CCTGGGCCCCCTGCATTGGGAGCCTGAAGCCTTAGCCACTGGACCACCAGGGAAGTCCCCATCCTTGAGTACTGAACTCAAGCTTAAGATCCCAAGGATTCCTAAAACATTAACACTCATTTGTAAAAGTTCAATTAATAGTATTTGAGGAAATTAAAACACTTAAGTAACATGAACATGTTTTGGGATATACTGAATACATAGTCACTGATTTTCTTCTGGCAATCAATTAGCTAGAGCACATAAAACTTCCAGTCTTTGTTGAGCAATTTCATTTATCTACATGTTACCACAAAACAGGAGTCACGGGGTACATATGTAAGACATGTAAGAATGAGTGATTTGTGGGACTTCCCTGGTGACACAGTGGTTAAGAATCCGCCTGCCAATGCAGAGGACATGGGTTCAAGCCCTGGTCTGAGACCTCACATGCTGCGGAGCAACTAAGCCCATGTGCCACTACTGAGCCTGCACTCTAGAGCCTGCAACTACTGAAGACCACATGCTACAACTACTGAAGCCTGCACACCTAGAGCCCGTGCTCCGCAACAAGAGAAGCCACCGCAATGAGAAGCCCGTTCACTACAACGAAGAGTAGCCCCCGCTCGCCGCAACTAGAGAAAGCCCACGTGCAGTAACGAAGACCCAATGCAGCCAAAAATAAAATTAATTAATTTAAAAAATAATAATAAGTATTTTTTTAAAAAAAAGAACGAGTTGCTGAGAATATTCAAAGTGAATTATGCTAAGAACATTCTGTATAAGGCCAGTGAGTTAGTCATAACTAATTCATACTGGACCAAAATAAAATAACTTCCTGGACTTGTTACTGGTTGCAACATTTTAAGTAAACATAGAAACATGTTCTCTAAAAATGCAATAAAATATACTTTTTTAATTAAATCATCCTTTGTTTAAATTTATGAAGTATAAGCAATATTACTTACTACAAGCAGATAAGACTTCTGCCCCCATCAACTCATATCCAGTTCATGAGAAATTCTTACCAAATTCCCATTGCCATATTTCTAGAATTATATTATATTTGATGCAGTATGATTAATTCCCTTTTTCTTCTGCTTGCTGAAATAGTACCAGCCTTTAGAAATTTTCCAGGAGGTCCCTACCAATCATTAATAAACAATGAGCTATATATTAGCTTAATGGTAGGCAATAATGTTGATGTTATTTTATTAACTGAATATTTTAGATAAGTCCTGCCCATACTATTAAAATTAAAAACAATATAGTTTCTTGGTGATCACTTCATCATGAGAACTATATTTCCCCTCTAGCTATTTAAAAGCACATCTGTGCATACACCTGCAGATCTGTTGTACTGATGGGTGCAGAGCTCCAATGCGGGCACTGCTGGAGACTGGTATCTTTAATTTCCCCCAAATAGTGCCCTTCACTCACCATCCATTCATGGTAAAGTAGTTAATTTTAACGTCCTCATTGTTTACCAGAAAGCAGAGACAGTGAGGCTGGCTTTGCCGTTCCCGTTTCCTTTTGCTGGGCTGCTGAGCTTTTTCAGCCAATTGACTTCACTTTGAGGCTATAAATATCTGAAAAATGTTCTGCATTTGATGCTCTTGGATTCTGCATCCATATTTAGCTGTTTGTGGCATGCCTTTGTTTAAGCTACTCTACCACCCATACAGTCAGTCAGGTTGAGATCTGGATGGTCAAAGGACAGATGGATCAACATTCAGCACACACTGACTTACCATGGGGGAGGCATCGATCTGCTAGACACTGTGACAATGAAGGGAGTGGCAAGATAGGAATACAGAGATAAACAAGACAGATTCCCTGGTGTCAAAAATATTATAGTCTTGACGGGCATGGGCACAACTTATAATAATATTGGAATAAAACAAATGAAACACTTTACAACTAAAAGAAAAATAGCACAGCATAACTATTTTCTCTTGGCTGTGTCTCAAAAATGTGCATTTGTTTGTGTTCTAAATATAGGTCTACATATTATAAAGCTCTGGACATATTCCAAAAAGTTTGCAATCATGACAATACACAAAACTCTGAATATAGGTATAACCCACCAAAGAGCCAGACCTATCAGTAGCAAACTCAAAACAGTGCCCAGTCTTCAAATTTTGTGAGGCAAACTAATAAAATATTATTTCCAAAAGTTTCTGTAAATAAATAAATAAAATAAAAGTTTCTGTTAAGATATTTGGGGAGAGGGGTTACTTCTGTTCTTCTTGTTTGTTTGCATACTGATTTCAAACCTTAAGTATATTGAAGAGGATATAAACCATAGCCAGAAGCCAGGAGCACTTAATACAGCTCCTTACTTTGCATCTTATCTTTAAAACCCACATGTCTATTCTAGGTTAGGTCTCAAAACTGAATGAGCTAGATCTGAGATCCCCATTCCCACCTTCCTATCTTGTGAAAACATTCCAAACAAATATACATCTGCCCTCAACATTCCGTCTTTCAAAACTCAGTTCATTGACCTTTTGATAAAAGTGCTCCCCAGAATCCTGATAGTCATGATTTAAATGTATTAAAGGCTTGCTTGATGCCTGGCCCCAAGAGTCAGGGTGGAATTGGGAGGCAAAGTTGTAGGTTAAATAATAGGGTAGGCCATAGAATCAGAAAACTCAAACTAAAATGTACCATAGATACAATTACTCCAGATTCCACATTTTATGTAGAAACCTAGACCCACGGACTTAAAATTACTTGCCCAAAGTTAAACAACAATTTGTGGCAAGGCCAGAATGAAAACCCAGGTTCTCAACCCCCAGTTGCATGCTCTAGACTAGTTTCTGGATTTCTTTAAAAAAACGTTTGAGTACACTCATCAAAGTCTGTTTCAATTGTGTAAAAGAACCCTGATGTTCCAAAACAATCAGGATTTTGAACACACAATACAAATAAACAAGAAAACCAAAACAACTGTTTTCCAAATTGATTTTCTACATTCTATTTTTTTTTTACTTCAAAGCTTTTCAAAGAGCTATACAACAGGCAACTTAAAAACTAGCTAAGGACATAGAAAAGCCAAGAGTCATTCAGATAGTTTTGGAATATTTACATCAAACTAAAGACAATAAAGTAGTACCCGAGATGAGCTGCCTTAGAGGAAGGAAAGTAGCAGTACTAAACAGTAAATAAAAACTTCTGGTTAATTGATAGGGAAGACAAAAAAGTTACAATGCAGTAGAAAGTCTGCAAATTGGCTTTGAAATGCACACTATATATGTGTGTGTGAGACAGAATATATATTTAAGAATATACACACAAACCTAGCCCTAGGAATGGACTACAAAAACAAGCACATAGTTTTATGGGTTATATGCAAAGAAGGTAGTTAACACTAAGTCTAGAAAATCCAGACAGAATAGTTTGACACTGAAATACTGAATTGTCATATATACATATTCTTGCAGTAACAAGGCCCTATCTCTAACGTCATATAAAAAACAATATGCAAAAGAAGTGTATAAGGACAGAAAGGATAGAATAGGAAAAAGTTGTAACCACAATATACTCTAATTCAAGCTCAATTTCAGATTCCCACCAACCTTTGTTATTAACCATCGGCTAAGCAGGAACAGCAGGTGGGTGGAAAAATCAGGCACTAAAGTTTTTAATCTGCTGAGAATGAACTGGGTGACCTTGCATCATCTCCCACTTCTTTGCTTTAATTCTTTCAGTTAATTAAAATAACATCAAGAAACATTTATAAACATCCAGCAAAATACAATTAAGAATTGGTTATAAAAATTGATGGATTTTTAGAACTACAAGGACCATTAAGAGATTATTTAATCCAATCCACTCATTTTACAGAAGAGGAATGAGACGTCAAAAAAGTGACCTGCTCTGCTCCAAATCACATAGCCATGTAGTGGAAGAACTGAGACAAAAATTCAGATCTCTGGACTCCCAGTTCTATGATCTTTCTCACGGTGATAGACTTAAAGTCTTGAAATCAACTGAACTATCCAGGAAGACAACTTCAAAGTCACAGTCACTCTTGAATACTAAACACATACCCTGTTCAGGATGAAAAAAACAAAACAAAACATAATGTACTTGATCACTAACAGGCTTAGATGCACATGACTGCAGGATAACATCTTAACATTGTGTTGATCTCAGGTGCTTCAAATTTGCCATCTTATACTCAGCCACATTACTAATGTCTTTTATAGTACTGTGAGCTAAGTGATAAACACCTTGACGTTTCAATATTTTGGAAAGCCACAGCTCAGTCCCGAATGCCAGGCTATAAATCCTTGGGCTATGGGTTTTCAAAACCAGCATGGTTTTAATGCTGCCAAAAGGCTCGCCCTAATAGAATCTCATCATTCAGTTTTAATTAAAGAGGTGGTTACTAGGAATGCAGAAAGGGAAAGTTTTAGTGTGTTCATCACTTTTTAACTTGCTGAGTAGCAACCCAGTCACTTTACAAAGAGCACCAGAAACAATAGTGCAATCCGAAACAATCCACACCCCTTGGACTAAATGCTTGCCTTTGGAGAGTGAGGTTCAGAAAGAGGTTATAGAATTAGACTGTTCCCACCAAATAAATGCTTCTGATTTTTATTTTATTACCTTAACCTCTGCTAAGCTATTTCATAATATCTTAGTTTCCAGCCTTGCCTCACTCCAGAGAAAGCAGTGAAATGCCATTCATTTGATATCACGGTGTGTTCTTCTTGAAGATCAGCTGACACTTCCCTTGAAGTCACCACCTGAGAATTAAGTCTACATAGCCCAACTCCACCTTAAATTTACTGCAGGTACCTGAAAAGGTCCGAAGACCATACTGAGTCACATCTCTCTCCTCAAGTCCTAGTCTGGAGAAACTTGTCAGAAATGCACCCCAGAACCAAAAGGGATGTGGGAAACGGACCCAGGATGGATGGGGACTGAGAACATGACTGAGACCAGGGAATGAATTTCAGCCTGAGCAAAGATATAAAACATCAGCCTCTAAGACGGCCTTTGGTCCTTACCGTACACCCGGACCCAGCTCTGTTGCTGGCACACGGACTCCAGAAGGATCCGATCCAACATGCCACCGGCCACGGCCCCACTGACCGGGACAACAGCGTCCAGCTCCTCCGGGGGGAGCGGCGAGTCGGACTCCAGTCCCGGGAACATCTCCGGCCAGGAGAGCGCCTCCGCGGCTCCTCCGGACGACAGGGAGAGCTCCATGGTGCCCCTGAGGGACAAGGCGGCGGCGGCGGCAGGGCGGGCGCGCGTCTCCGCGCCCTGCCTGCGGGAAGGGGAGGAGGAGAGCGCAGCAGCGGGGACAAGGACCAGAGAGGCAGCCGGCGCGGACGCGGCTCACCTCCTTCCCCGCCGCCCACTGCCCGCGGCTGGGGCGCTACTGCCCACCTGCAGCCGGCGGGCGGGACCCAGCCCGGGAGGCGGATCCAGCGTGGCCCCGGGTGGGGGTGGGTCCCGGCTCAGGTATGGGTCCCTCCCGGGAGGGGACGTGGAAGGACCCGGGAGGGGCGGCTCGCCCGCCCGCCCCCTCGGAGCCGCCTTTCTGTGCCCCAGCCGGCGTCACCCGCGGGCCGATCGGGCCGGGGCTGGGGATGGAGTGGGGCCAGACAGGGCTGGGCTGGGGGCGTCGCCGCCAGGGGCCGCCCCCTTTGACCGGCTCCCGCCGCCGCCGCCGCCGCCTCAGGGGCTCCGAGTGTCCCCTCCCTCCCCCCTGGGTGGGTGGGGGGGGGGCGGGGGAGGCGGTGGCCCTGGGTTCTCGCCCGCCAGTCCTCAGCACCCACCCCAGGAATGAGCCGGCCCGCCCCTCTAACTCTCAGACCAAGGCTCTCGCTGCTGCTCTGGGTCCGGCTCCGACTCCGCGGCGGATCCCACAAGCCCGGCAGCCGCGGCTGTGGCGGCGGCAGGCGGCATCCCAGGGTGATAGGCCGGAGTAATCGAGGGCCGAGAGCCAAGCCGCGTGTGCAGTAGAGTAACGAAGCGGAGGAGGAACTGCCGCCGAAGGCAGGAAAAATCGGACCCCGAGTTATTCATCCAGCCAGTCCCGCCTACTTTCCAAATACCCTCTCCGCCACCGCCCTGCAGTGCGTTTCCCGGTCTACCAGTTTTCCCAGCTGCTTCTTGAAGTGGAGCCGGCGTGGAGAGGCGGGGTGGAAAAGGGGTGCGGGAAATTTAAAAAGAAAGGAAAAGAGCTTCCCTTTCCCCTTTTCCCACCCTTTTCCTTGTATGTATGCATTTATGTCTTTATTTATTTGGACCAACATTTCTTTCTCATTGGACGGAGAGATTGGAGATGCTGCTTTATTTTACAGTCACCCTAGGGGAAAAGCTTCCTTCCTTACCAGAGAGGAGAGTTGGCAGCGGGGTCTGGGATTGTGGGATTGTGTGGGGACCGCGCTCTGCGACCTGTCCGCACTAAAGCTGGATTTGTCATCGGTTTAGAATAGCATGGTTAAGAAGTGTGGTGTGGATGGATGGACGGGCCTCGCAAGCACATGAAATGCTCAAAAGCCTAGTATTAACCAAACATGTTTCTCTTTTTTTGCCTTCGATCTTTGTGCAATATGTTGGCTTTTTTACCGAAGTCTCTAATGATGTCACTTGCGTTTTATTTTTGGTCTATCTGTAGACTGTCTCCCTTGACCTTGAGTTTAATTTTATGCCCACCCAAGGCAATATTCACCAGTTCAGATTTGAGTTGCTGGAAAAGTAATAATTATGATTTTAAAATTGAAAAGTAACAAACAGTGTCTTGCACATAGTAGGTCTCCAACAATGTTTCTTGAACATGGCTGCATAAAACCTAGCAAGGGTTCCATAAGTATACATTGCGTTTTTTTTTTTAAAACTCCTTTTGGGTGGGGGGGTTGTTTAGTGTTTGTCCCCCATTTCTCCCTACTTGGCACAAAGAGACGGGTCTACAAGGGGACATTTTTGTTTTCTGTATTGTTTGGGCTTATCAAGAGGTATGAGGACGCGTTTTGTAATTTTCTCTAAACTGTTATTTAGAGTAATAGCATTTCACAACAGGAAGTAACCTTAGAGAGAATCTCATCCTGCCTCCTGTTTAACAGGTGAGAAAACTGAGGAGCAGCCATGTTACCCGGCAAATCAACCACCAATACAGATAGGTCTGCAATGCTTCAGTGATATTGGTTACTTCAACTTCTTTCCCTCAAAAACCTTTTGTAATTAAGCTTGTTGATATGTGGCTTGGTGATGTATTGAAGCGATCATTTCCAGTATCTAGAACCCTGATTTCTTACTCTCTGACACCATAGTCAGACTTCCAAGTTTAACCATCGTATCCCTCAGTGTTTGGACAAAAGAAAGTGTTGAAGCTAGAGATTTAGACCCCTGCACTGAATAGAGCTAGAGCATTTTTATTTACACTAAATTACCGTTGAAGTCATGGTAACAGAAGTCAGGGACTTCCCTGGTGGTCCAGTGGTTAAGAATCCACCTTCCAGGACTTCTCTGGTGGCACAGTGGTTAAGAATCTGCCTGCCAGTGGTGCTGGGAAAACTGGACAGGTACATGGAAAAGTATGAAATTAGAACACTCCCTAACACCATACACAAAATAAACTCAAAATGGATTAAAGACCTAAATGTAAGCCCAGACACTATCAAACTCTTAGAGGAAAACATAGGCAGAACACTCTATGACATAAATCACAACAAGATCCTTTTTGACCCACCTCCTAGAGAAATGAAAATAAAAACAAAAATAAACAAATGGGACCTAATGAAACTTAAAAGCTTTTGCACAGCAAAGGAAACCATAAACAAGACCAAAAGACAACCCTCAGAATGGGAGAAAATATTTGCAAATGAAGCAACTGACAAAGGATTAATCTCCAAAATTTACAAGCAGCTCATGCAGCTCAATATCAAAAAAACAAACAACCCAATCCAAAAATGGGCAGAAGACCTAAATAGACATTTCTCCAAAGAAGATATACAGATTGCCAACAAACACATGAAAGAATGCTCAACATCATTAATCATTAGAGAAATGCAAATCAAAACTACAATGAGATATCATCTCACACCAGTCAGAATGGCCATCATCAAAAAATCTAGAAACAATAAATGCTGGAGAGGGTGTGGAGAAAAGGGAACACTCTTGCACTGCTGGTGGGAATGTGAATTGGTTCAGCCACTATGGAGAACAGTATGGAGGTTCCTTAAAAAACTACAAATAGAACTACCATATGACCCAGCAATCCCACTACTAGGTATATACCCTGAGGAAACCAGAATTCAGAAAGAGTCATGTACCAAAATGTTCATTGCAGCTCTATTTACAATAGCCCGGAGATGGAAACAACCTAAGTGCCCATCGTCGGATGAATGGATAAAGAAGATGTGGCACATATATACAATGGAATATTACTCAGCCATAAAAAGAAACGAAATTGAGCTATTTGTAATGAGGTGGATAGATCTAGAGTCTGTCATACAGAGTGAAGTAAGTCAGAAAGAGAAGGACAAATACCGTATGCTAACACATATATATGGAATTTAAGAAAAAAAAAATGTTATGAAGAACCTAGGGGTAAAACAGGAATAAAGACAGAGACCTACTGGAGAACAGACTTGAGGATATGGGGAGGGGGAAGGGTGAGGTGTGTTAGGGCGAGAGAGAGACATGGACATATATATACTAACAAACGTAAGGTAGATAGCCAGTGGGAAGCAGCCGCATGGCACAGGGAAACCGGCTCGGTTCTTTGTGGCTGTCTGGAGGGGTGGGATAGACACAAAAGGGAAGAGATATGGGAACATATGTATATATATGTATAACTGATTCACTTTGTTATAAAGCAGAAACTGACACACCATTGTAAAGCAATTATACGCCAATAAAGATGTTAAAAAAATAATGATAATAAATGCATGTATGCACTGAAAAAAAAAAATAAGAATCCGCCTGCCAATGCAGGGGACACAGGTTAGAGCCCTGGTCCGGGCAGATCCCACATGCTGCGGAGCAACTAAGCCCGTGAGCCACAACTACTGAGCCCGCGTGCCTAGAGCCTGTGCTCTGCAACAAGAGAGGCCACCTCAATGAGAAGCCCGCGCACCGCAACTAGAGAAAGCCTGCACGCAGCAACGAAGACCCAATGCAGCCAAAAATAAAAAAAAAATAAAGAATCCATCTTCCAATGCAGGGGACGCTTGTTTCAATCTCTGGTTGGGGAACTAAGATCCCACATGCCGCGGGCAACTAAGCCCACGCACCACAACTGGAGAGAAGCCCACGTGCCACAACTAAAGCTCCAGCAAGCAGCTGCAAAGACCCAACACAGCCGAAAATAAATAAATAAATATTAAAAAAAAAAAAAAAGAAGAAGAAGAAGAAAGAAAGAAGTCAGAGAACAAGGGAATAATGGGCATCAGATGTACAAATTTGGGCATCTCTTTATTAGTCACTATATAAGGAATTTATTTACCCAAGCAGTTATTTCAAAGCAGCATTAGGAGTGGTGTATGAAACATTCACAGTGTTTTTTTTTTCTTTTTCCTAGCTTGCTCTCTCATTAGCGTCATTCATTGTTGAGCTGAAGAAAAAAACTTCTGCCAATCCCCAGTAATCCTACTTTCTGCGTCCAGTTTCCCCAAATCCCAGTTCTTCCTTCACCTCCCCATTCTGACCCCAGACTGGCTTCAGTGGTTATCTAGTTGCTTAAGTAACAGTATGTCTGGAATGTATCTAATGTTTATAATTTAAAGAGAAAATACTTTCACAACCTGAACGATAATTCTGTGAGATAAGCCTAACCAGTGATTTTTAAAATCACCATTTAGCCAATGAAAAAACTTGAAGCATAGAATTCTATTAAGCAACCTACATAAAGTAACATAGGTAGTTCATAGATTAAAACCCCAGTTTCCTAATTTTTTAATTCACTGATGGATCTGGATTCCTTAAGGGGTTTCCCCCCTTTGGCAGGTAGAATTGTTCTAACGGTTGTGGAGCCAAAAGTAAACATTTCATGGTTTTTGTAAATTATTATCACTTAAGAAAAATATTGAAGAAAAATAAAATGAACAAAAGTATTAAACCAATCGGATTGCTGGGAGGCAGTTAATCCTACTTGGATTTATACCAGTGTTATCTGCCTGATGAAATCCCAGATTTTAAAGTGAAGATAAATCCTTTGCTGTTAAAGTCTTGGTTTACATTGTAGTTTGCAAACAGGCCTTTGTGTGTGAAATACAATAAAGTCTCATTTCCCTGCCTGCCCTACTCTCTCCTCCTTTTTCCTCCCTCTAGAGCTTCTGACACCAAGCTCCCAGAGGTGATCTACATATTTATTGTCCATGGAATTCAACTCTAAGAATCTGACCCAAAACCCAGGACCAGAGGGAACTAAAAGTTGGGGAACTCTGGAGGAGAAAAGATAATAAATTCCCTTGTCATAGTCTGAAAACAAAGGCTGGTAATAATCTGAGATTTCCAAAAGAAAGAAAGGAGCTTTGGGTTCTAAGTACACATTTTCAATATAAAGGAAAGATGAGGATTTGCAATCTTGGCTGTCAGTCTGAGGACCAGGTACATGTCCAATTTTCTCATCT